TTTGGGGGGGGGGGGGTCACATGAGATGACTCTCTCCAATCAGCTGGCTGCCACTGCCCACCTATAGGTAAGTAGAAGATCTTGAGCCTCCCCCAAGTGGGAGACTTGGATATATCTGTAGCGCTCACCTCTGAAGGAGCCGCTCAATATGAACTTGGGCTCTCCATCCTGTTTCTGCCAGCCACCGGCCCCTTCCTCAGCTCCAGCAACACCGACACTGGAACAGAACAGGCTCGGGTCGTGGGGTCTTTTTAACATTTATTGCACAGGATCAACTAGAGAGGGTTTGGGGATTTGCAGGAGACCCGAGTAACAATTTGGAGACTGTCTTCTCCCTTAGCAACGGCTTGTATCTGTAGCACAATGGTCCTGTAAGAGCGACCAGTAATAGCACAGAGGACAGCCAGAAATAGTCCAGGACCTTGAGAGAGAGAGAGAACTGTCTCTGAACTTCTAAGGCAACGACTGGCTTCTCTCCAGTAAAGTACCTGAGATTAGGGCGATGGATCTCTTACAGGGTTCCAGACGGTAGATCTCACCAGCTCCTCTGCGACACTTCTCCATAGGCAGATTCCACCTCCAGCCCGGCTTCCATCAGGTCTCCTTTCAGTAGCATCTGAAGTCTCTGGGCCCCCAACATCTGCCACATGCTGAGGCCCAGGCCAGCCACCTGTAGCACACAGACCTCCTCCCATGGAGGGCCCGCGGGGGGGGGAGGAGAGTTCTGGACTGGAAAATGTCCCCAAACCTTTTATCGGCTACTTTCAGCCATACCCCCGCGTCATCCTGCTCAGGGATTGGTCAGAGTCAGATGCATAGTCGCAGTCTGAGGATAGATCCTCCTTCACTGTATGCTGAGGCCCCAACCCAGCCACAGGGGGAAGCAATCCATCCAGCAAACTCAGGGAAACCTGTAGAACGCAGAACTGATTACAGTCCAGATATACACTAAATTTAGTAGCAACATAACCGAGGGCGCTACATATCTATAATGACAATGCCTCCACCCAGCTGGGTCTTGTGTATTACAAGTGGGACCCCCGGATGAGGATGACCTTGTCCCCAGGCATGTTCCTCTGAAGATACAACGCTAATCATCGGGTATGACGAGCGATGAGCGTCAGTCACTTTGAATAGCGCGGAGAAGAGTAAGGAGAGAGGATGAGGGAGCGCAGGGTACAATGACATCACAGCGCAGTCCCATAGTCTTCTATCTTAGACCTCTACTGGCTGGACGCATGTACATTGGCTCCTTGTAGCTGAGGTTCTAGTGTATGCTCCGTCTTCACACCAAGGCAGGACAGCCATGGGAAGGTTCCTGTGGGACGTCCTGAGACTCGGTCACTCGCCACCTCCATGTGGGGGACAACTGCAGCTCTGCTTCCTCCAGGCCTGTACTGTAGCACTCCATAGCAGCCAGTAACGTATGGACACCTCCCAGGAGGGGAGATCCCCACAGCTTCCCATCCCCCTACACTCTCAGACCTGGGGCCTAGATAGTTATAGATACATCCTCATAGAGAGGAAACCCCCGGAGGGGAGACCATGTGACAGGAAGTGCCTCAGATATGTAATAGCTCTCCCAGCATGCACAGCAGGCCAGCCGGGTATTAAACATCCCTAATCTCTCGCACACCCGGCTGGAGAACACGGAACACAGCATGTGACTGACAATAATCACTGCACACTGTGAGCCAGCACACCGCTAAGAGGACCAACCTCACACTGACGGATCAGAACCACAGGAGGAGAATGTGGAGAAATATTACATCCCTACATCATTGTGAGACTCGGAGCTTCCTGTAATAAAGACCGCTCACTGCTGCTCCCTCTCATTGTGCAGGGGGACTGGTCTAGTATCTGCCCCTTCCTGTAGTGGGTGGGGCCTGCTGGGTGACACCAGTATACTTCATTATTCCTATGAGTGTCACTCCCCCAATTATACTAGTGCAGTGCACCCGGCATATGGGTTGGTATGGACGGAGAGCCATAATGGCAGTGTCCTCCTTCAGCAGGATAATGCGCCCGGCCACACTGCACACATGGGGGAAGAATGGTTTGAGGAACAACAATGAGTTTGAGGTGATGGCTCCGCCTCCAAATTTTCCAGATCTCCGTCCAATCGATCATCTGTGGGATGTGATGTGCTGGAAGAACAAGTCCGATCCATGAAGGCCGATCACCTCACAACTTACAGGACTTCAAGGCTCTGCTACTGATGGCTTGGTGCCAGATACCACAGCACACCTTCAGAGGTCTAGAGGAGTCCATGCCTGGGGGGGGGTCAGGAGAAGGGGGACCTCCTCAATATTAGAATGTTATGGCTGATCAGTGTACATCCCAATATAGAGCCATTTATCCAACTGTCCATCCAGAGCCGCCATTTATAGACCGGATACATCCTAAATATAGAGCCATTTATCCAACTGTCCATCCAGAGCCGCCATTTATAGACCGGATACATCCTAAATATAGAGCCATTTATCCAACTGTCCATCCAGAGCCGCCATTTATAGACCGGATACATCCTAAATATAGAGCCATTTATCCAACTGTCC